ATGTATGGGGCAGTAAGGACTAGATGTGTTGTATATGGTTGAATATCTAATTCACTTATGTCACCTAAGATGCACAGTTTGGGTGAGGATGGGATGCACCAACTAAACCTAAATGGATCGGTCTTCAGAATATCCTCTGCCAGAACCTCTGGAAAGGCATACAAGACCATACTAGTATTGCTGCCTGTACATTGGGGTTTCCCCTAGTGGACGAGAGAGTTTGTTCCCTGCGCCTTTGGGTCAGGGAACAGGTCCTGACTGTCATCTGCGCTTATGTGCCAAACGACGGTTCAGAGTACCCGGCCTTCTTGGAGTTCCTGGGCAGGGTACTTGACGGTGCTCCACCTGGGGACCCTGCTGTCCTACTGGGAGAGTTCAATGCTCATGGGGCTTCAACAACAGTGAGACTTGGAGGAACGGCCTGCCGGATCTGAACTCGAGTGGTGTTTTGTTGTTGGACTTCTGTGCAAATCACAGTTTGTCCATAACGACCACCATGTTCAAGTATAAAGGTTTCCATTAGTGCACGTGGCACCAGGGCACCCTAGGTCACAGGTCAATCGGTTTTGTAATCATATCTCCAGACCCGCGGCCATATGTTCTGGGCACACGGGCAAAGAGAGGGTCTGAGCTGTCAACTGATCACCACCTGGCGGTGAGTTGGATTAGGTGGTGGGGGAGGACACCAGAGATGAAGGGAGACATCTCTGGTGTCTTTATATTTAAGCTTGTAACAGACATTTATGCAATATAATGAAATAAATGGGGAATAAACAAAGAATATATTTAAATTTAATTTCATTTAATTTCATTTAAATTAAATTCAAAGAGAATTTCAATAGTTTTCTTCAATCTTTTAGCACAGGTTCTCTCAGGTTAACCTCTTAAGCCCCAACGCCCCCTGATACGGGGGCAAAAAGCAGGAGATCAGGTAGTCTTGGGGCTTAAGAGGTTAAATGCAATTTTAAAAAAACCTATATACTAATAGGTAAGTATACAGATATATTAGTGCTGTCAAACAATTAAAATGTTTAATCATCATCATCACAGGGTTGCTGTGGATTAATTTTGATTAATCACTATTAAATATCATTCTGTCCCTTTTCCCTTTCTATTCCTGACTTCCTTCTTCTGTCTTTCATCTTATAAAACAAACCAACAATATTACTTGCAAAACATAAAGAAATGTGGGGTGTCTCAGTACCTTTGCTACTGTACTTGTACTGTACAAACTATTCCACTTTACTCTAAAAGGCAAGTTTAGACGTGTCCTACCTGAGTCCTTAATATGTCTGAGTGCATCACTTTCGGAGAAAGATGACATGTTGGTTGCTGGACTTTTGGCAGCTTGTTCGAAGCTTTTAAAGGGAACACTGCAAGTGTACACAACCAGGTCTGATAGCTCCGGAGTTATCTTGGAGACGCCTGCCTGACATCACATGCACATACACAGAAACCAACTGAATTAGTCACCATCCAGAAGTGGTCAGAGGTACTGTTTCTAGGACAGTGTCGTACCAACCTTTTTATCCTCCTTCCTTCTGGGTTTCCCTTCTGTGCAGCTGGTCTCCTCATCTGAGGAACTGAGGTCTGAAGAGCTGGACGAGCATTCCTCCAACCTCTCCTTCTTCCCCTTCACTAGGACTTTACCTTTAAGAGCCTACACACACACACACACACACACACACACACACACACACACACACACACACACACAATGTTTGTTCTGGTGGCCCACATTAATAAGAGAGCATGTTTTAAAGAATA